AGGATTTTACGATACATGGCTCCGTCCATTTTCCCGTTGATGCGGTGAAGTTGTCCTGTGCCCTTAGCAGAAAAACACCCCCAAAGCAAAATGTTTCCACCTCCATGCTTGACGGTGGGGTCGGTGTTTTGGGGGTCATATAGGCAGCATTTTTCTTCCTCCAAACACGGCGAGTTGAGTTAATGCCAAAGAGCTCAATTTTGGTCTCATCTGACCACAGCACCTTCTCCCAGTCACTCTCTGAATCTTTCAGGTGTTCATTGGCAAACTTCAGACGGGCCTGCACATGTGCCTTCTTGAGCAGGGGGACCTTGCGAGCACTGCAGGATTTTAATCCATTACGTTGTAATGTGTTTCCAATGGTTTTCTTGGTGACTGTGGTCCCAGCTACTTTGAGGTCATTAACTAACTCCTCCCATGTAGTTCTAGGATGATTTCTCACCTTTCTCAGAATCATTGACACCCCACAAGGTGAGATCTTGTGTGGAGCCCCAGACTGAGGTCGATTGATGGTCATTTTGTGCTCCTTCCATTTTCGAACAATTGCACCAAAAGTTGTCACCTTCTCTCCCAGATTCTTGCTAATGGTTTTGTAGCCTATTCCAGCCTTGTGTAGGTCTACAATTTTGTCTCTGGCATCCTTGGACAGCTGTTTGGTCTTTCCCATGTTGGAGAATTTGGAGTCTGCTTGATTGATTGATTCTGTGGACAGGTGTTTTTTATACAGGTGACTAGTTAAGACAGGTGTCTTTAATGAGGGTGACTAATTGAGTAGGAGTGTCTAACCACTCTGTGGGAGCCAGAACTCTTAATGGTTGGTAGGCGTTCAAATACTTAGTTCACTCAATGAAATGCAAATCAGTTTATATCTTTTATTTAAAGTTATTTTTTCAATTTTCCTTTTGATGTGCTATCTGTCACTGTTAAAATAAACCTACCATTGAAATGATACTGTTCGGAGACTTTTCATTTCTTTGTCATTGGACAAACTTACAAAATCAGCGAGGGGTCAAATAATTATTTCCTCCACTGTATATGGTGTTTTAATCATAATTTTTAAAAGAATAATAATTAGTTGAAAAAATATTTTTTATCAGTAATTTTTTTCATCAATTACTAGACATTTCAGGGGACCCCATTTGAATTCCAGGAGACCCCACATGGGGTCACAACCCCAAGGTTGAAAAACACTGGGTTAATGTGTGCATGTAGGCACCCTGGAAAGGGCCTGCATTCTGTCCACTGTGTGCCAGGCTTCTGTGATTAGAGAACTTGCATTGCATACATGGCTGTGGAAAATAAATGGAGAGCAATTTACCAGCTGAAGCGCATAGTGCATAACTATCAAAGCACATATTTGTTATGATCAGCTCGTACGATCCTTGTGTGTGCCACGGCCAGTAGTCGAGTTGTAAAAACAAATCAGGGGGGATGGTGAATTTTATCGTTTATCAGACATATTTTGTGCTGATGACAGTGCACATGGTGGGAGACCAACTGTGTACCCTTTATATTGTTGTTTAAGCAAAAACATAATTAATATATTCTACTATCCATGCATGGTGTGGATGTTACGTGTCAGATAATCCTGTCATTGATCCTGACCAAGGCACCTCAGAATTGGAGTCGGTTCCCTGGCTGGCATAGCTACTGTATCACATGCTCCATAGTTAGGGTCAAATGCAGAGGATACATTTTCCCACTTGGTTCAAGTGCAGCTTCATACTCATGGTACTTTGAAATCTTTTGGTAATTCATCTATTAAAATGAAAACAAAACAAAACCTTGTAAATGAACATCTGAATCCTCTCAAGTCAGGTCAAGTCCATTTTAATTCAAATGCAAAAACAAAAGAATGGAACCATTGAAACAATTACAAAATCTGAAAATGAATCTTACAAATTACACAAATATATAGCACAAACAAATTTTTTTTGGATAAAAGTAACTTACATAAAACCTCATAGATGTTTCTAAAGATTTTCATAATCATGTTTTTTGTTGTCAATTTTCCAGGCTCTTGCTTTTTTTTTTTTTTTTTTGGAGTCACCGAGTTAGAGACCGTATCTCCCTTCACTTATACAGCAACCATGTCTCACGACGGCCAGGTACTTGGCCGCTCGGTTGTTTTCGGCACCAGAAGGAAGCCTACGAACGCAAAAGTGACGAATGTAAGTGTCGAACAAAAGAATGAACATAAAAGTGATAAGACAAGCGCAGACGGAACATGAAAAATAAATCCGAAATTGCGGGGGATGCTTTTGGAGGTTGAATAGCCAAAGATCAGTTTTAAAAACGTTTTAAAATAATTTTAAAAATCGATTCGTTCAGACTTATGAATCGGTTCAACCAGTTCACTAAAAAAACCGAGTTAAAAAGAACGATTCGTTCGCGAATCGGCCATCACTAATGCATTCATTGATAAAATAGCACAAGGGATGGAACGGGGGGATGTTCGTTTTAGAAGGGGGATGATTTTGACTGTTTTTATTTCAGGGGGGATGACATCCCTCCTCATCCCCCCTCAACTCGAGTACTGGCCACGCCCCCTCATTTACCTCATGTGAATTCCCGATTGTGATCACCGGTGTCCTGTTATTTTGGCTAGTCTTGTGTATATCAGTCCACGTCTTCCTCTGTTTCGCAGATCTGTCATTGATGTTTGTCTTGTGCCGCTCCCCGTTTACCCCAAATAAAACCCCAGCCTTTGGATTTTGTCTTCTGGATTTACTTCCCCGCTCCCCGCTCACGCATAGGACGTGACAATACTTACCATACCATAAATTTTCGATTTAACACACGGAACTCTAACCTCCTGACAAGTCATGAATTTTCTTCTAATGGTGAAAATTATGAATTTCCTTTAGCACCAACATCAGCACCACCAAGTACATGTGATGTGTCTTGCTGTTTCTGGCCTACATCGATGTAAAATATAAATAAATAAATGATGCAATTCACAGGTTACACAAAACTGTACAGTAACAGACATAGAAATCAGTATAGCAATTGAGCACAGTAAATTTTGTGTTGTTCCTGCTCTAATTGCATAATAGTTAAAAAAATATGCGCTCACTTTAGATAGAAGCCGTCAATGAGTGGGTGCCATTACTGGAGAAGAACAGACAGAGCGTCATTTCTACAGGGTTACTTGATGACCTGGAAGATGGTGGGGGTGGTGGGCTGTGGTTGTTCTCAGTCACGCACAGTGTTCGTAAAAATGTGTTACCAAGTGACGTGCTACTATAATTCCATTACCTTTGGAGATAATTATTAATAACTAATTACTTTTTTTCAATTGAAATAACGTACTAAAATACTTAAAGTACTGACTTTTCATTGGGCTTCTTACTTGTTACTTTTGTCTTGTGTGAAAATATTAATGGAAAAAATGCAACCCATTCCCCTAACATTCTGGTTCGAATCCTATAGTTCGAGTTTTGATCAAATTTTCCCCACAAGAAATAATGGAAAACCAATTAATTGGTTCCCGGCCCCAAAAAATTACACCTAAATATGTTTTTTTTTTTTTAGCAGTTAAACACAAAATGAACAGGATAAAACAAGAAGAACATATACTGTACTAAACACATCTAAGCACATTTATCAAAACAGTAATTTGTAAAGTAAGAAAATAAATGTATCCAAACAATGTGTAATGTTAAAAAAAAAATGTCCTGCCCCGATCGTCCTCTCCTTCCGTGTGCCACACCCCCTCGTTGACCTTGTGTATAATCCCAGTGTGATCAGCTGTTTCTGATTGTTGTCATTAGTCCTCTGTATTTAGTCCGCGTTTAAGTTTGTCTCCCAAGTCCGGTCATTGTAT